CCCCGCCCCCGTCATCTCGGTGGCTCCAGGTGGGAGTTGGGAAGCGCCCCCCGGCCAGCCACAGCACCCCGAGGGAGGGGCCCTCCTGGGAGCCCGCCCCCCATCCCAGACGTGCTGCCTCCGGAGGGCTTGGGTCTGCGGGCCACGCAGAAGCTTTTCCGAAGAGTCCCAGCCTCTGTGAGTTTGTAACCAGGAGATTCCCTGGCTTCTGTCTCTGGAGAGAGCGGTGCTCTAAAGTCGCCAGTGACGGGTTCTGCTCGAGCTCCTCGGCGCAGGAGGCTGCTGGCCGGCCCCACGCACATGGGGTCCCAGCCCCGTAAGCGAGCGAGTAACGGTGCCCTCCCGCAGGCCAGTACTGGCGCTCCCTGCAGAGGCTCGCCTCCACCACCAGCTACTCTCTGGTTGAGGCCCAGAAGTGCGAGAACGAAGAGGCCGAGACCGTCACTGCCATGGCCTCGCTGTCCGTGGGCGTGAAGGCCCCTGAGAAGAGGTGAGTGTGGGCACCGCCCCGCCGTGAGCGCTGACGTGGTCTGCGGACCCCCCAGGTCTTTGCTCCTGGGCGCCATCAGATGCACAGGGTTTCTCCCCATAGGCCCTGCTGAGCTCAGCAGGGCCGGGAGGGAAGGAGGGAGGGTGGGCAGGTGTCCCCACCCTAGTCCAGGACCGGGCGGCATGGCCACCGCTCTCCAGAGCGCAAGACCCTCAGAAAACACTCGAAGGGCATCTGGACCCAGAACACTTGCCGTGGCAGGGGGTTAGCTAGGAGTCGGGGGCGCGGCAGCGGGGTGGCAGCAGCCCTGATGGGCGGGGACGTCCGCCCACCCACCGTCTGCGCTTCTCTCCTCTGCCGCCGGGCACCCGCACCCCTCCCCCTCCCCTGGGCCGCCCCACAGGCCCGACGAGGAGCCCATGGAAGAGGAGCCGCCCCTGTAGGTGCGCCCGAGGCTGCGGTTCTCTTGTTCGTTTGTCTCCGTCTTGAAGCTCCGCCAAGAAAAGTTGCTGTCGCCCTGCGTCCTGCCACGGCCTTCTCCGAGCCCCGCAGGTGCAGCGGGGCCGGCGGCAGCGGGTGGCCCTCTGCCTGCCAGGACCCGGACAGACGCCGGGACGCACGGACACAGGGACACGCGGAAACAGGCGCTCTGGGCTCCCCAGGGAAGCCTCAGAGGAAGGAAGCCTGTGGTGGCTCGGGGCAGAGCTGCTGATCTAGCCGACGCGAGAAAAAGAAAATGAAAATCAAAGATCTCACGACACAAAGCAAACTTGATTAAAACTGGTGCTTACGGTTTGGTGATTCCCCACAATTCCACAGTCTCCGTGTAAACCACTCAACTCATCCTGTAGCTTATTTCTTTTTAAGAGAAAGTCGCCATGGCTCTGGCCGGCCTCCGAACACCGCGGTGCACAGTGGGGTGGGGCACAGAGTGGGCGAGCGTTTAAGGAGCAAAACTGGACGGAACAGAAACGTGAGCCCGCGGGAGCTGGCTTTGGTTTCTCAAAGCCGGTGGAAGATGCGCGTTTGTGCCTTTCTTTTTATTGCTCTGATGGATTTTTGTGGCTGGGTTTTCTGAAGTCTGAGGAACAATGCCTTAAGAAAAAATAAACAGCAGGAGTCGGTGGGACAGTTCCCTGTGGCCGGTGGGACCAGAGGCCGGTGCGTGCTGGCCGGGCCCTCCGCCAGCAGCCCGGCCATGGCCAGCAGCTCCGGAGGGCTGAGGTCCTGCCACCCTGTTTCACTTTATTGCTGTTGAAAAATGGAGGTAGGTTCCAAAAAAGTGGCAAATACTGTTGGGGGTTTTGAAGTCCAACAAATTTTAAAAGAATCCAAAGTGTTCTTTTCTCGTACATCATATAACAATTGAGCATCTCCATTTGGTTGTGAAGCATGTCCTAGGCGCACACTTTCAGTGTTACGATCGGAATGCTTTTTATTAAAAGCAAGTAGCATGACGTATTGCTTAAATTTTAGGTATAAATAAATATATATATGTATAATATATATTCCAATGTATTCCAAGCTAAGAAACTTGATTCTTATGAAATCTTGATAAAATATTTATAATGCATTTATAGAAAAAGTATATATATATAATAAATGCAAATTGTAAAGGTCCCTGGTGAATGAACGACTTGTGAATTAGCTATCAAGGTGCTTATGGAAAGGGATCTGGTTTGAAGCCCGTGTATTTCTGAACTCCAGATTGGAGAGCTTTCAATCACACGTTCGCCACGGGGCAACGACCCTGCAAGATTGTACTTTCATTTTAATTATTTTCTGACCCAGCCCCTTCCCACTCCAAGCCTCCATGCACATGTGTACCTAATGAGTTTTTATAGCAAAGAATATAAATTTGCTGTTGATTTCGTATGAATTTTTCACAAAAAGATCCTAAATAAGCATTGTTTTGTGAATTTTACATTTTTTTCTCACCATTTAGTGGTTTTCTGAATGGTAATAACATCTAAACTTCTTTCTTTCTGAATTTTTGCTTGTACATTTTGTTTAACTTTGGAAGGTGTTTTCTTTCTTTATTATTTTCATTCTGTTTATTTTTGTACAGTGAGCACAGAGTTTATTTTCAGAGTGAGCACCAAATGTGCAGCAGGGTCTGAGGTCTGCTCCCCTGGTCCCGTCCCTCGGCTGGACATAGAGTGCGGGGGCCCTTCTTGCCGTCTGCGCATTGTGGGCCCGGGGGCGGGGGGCGGGAATCATCGCAGCGCTGAGTTGGGGGGGCTTGCCAGACACCATGGGCCGTCAGCATTCACAGAGCTCGTGTTTAAACTTCTCTGACCACATGGTCAGGATAGAATTTTCACTTCACTTTTCCAAAGACCTTGTAAGCATGTCAGCAACGTGTGGGCCTGGGGGGGCCCCGGCACCCATTCTGGGTTCTTCTGCTGCAGCCACATGGTAGGGCCCCGGCTGGGGGGCCTGGATCTTGGAGCCTGTGGCTGCAGGGAGCCTGGGCCCGCAGGGACGGCAGACTCCTGACCGGGACAGCCAGCCTTTGCTCTTTTTCTCTTCGACAGTAACTGAAAGTCACTTTTCACTGGTAACTTATTTTCCAGCACCTGAAGCCACCAAGTGTCATTCCAAAGTGTACGTCAGGTTCTGACCTGAGGGAGTGCAGAACAGCTTGCCCACAGCCGGGAGCCCCCAGCCAAGTCTCAAGTTTGGCAACGTTTACAGGGTAGCTTCTGAAAGGGACTCTGACGCAGCCAGACTTGGACCAAGAGAATCCAGATTCTTGGACTGGCTTGGTCACCGGCTGCTGTTGGTCAGACTTGGGACAGTGGTTGAGAGCGGGACAGGAAGGCCTTGGGACACGTCTGATGTTCTCTCCCCTCCTGGCCTTTTGCCCTGAGGCCCAAGTTGGCAGGGGGAGCTCGAGTGTGCGGGCAGCTGGATCCACCCAGAGGCCACAGCGGTGGCAGGGCCCAGCCGGCCGGCTTTTCTGGCCTTCTCGGCCCCCTTTTACTGCGGGACCCCCCCCCCGCCGCCGCCGCCACCGCTGCCTGCCCACTTCCCGCCAGCCGTGTCTCCTGGGGAGGAACACCTCATCTGGCATGCTTTACAGGTGGTGGGTAACACGGAACCCTGGTGGCCAAGTTATCTTTGGGGGTATTTACTTCTAATCTCATTCAACAGAGACCTCCTCTGCAGAAGGCCCGGTAGGGGGAACGTTGTCATTTGTCAGCTCACTCCAGCTTCACAGGCGTGCTTAAAGCAGTACCGTGTAGCCTTTTCTTTTCTTTAAAGACACAGCCCTTCTCGACGGCCAGCCGTCCAGGGCAGATGGCGGAGGGCCCACCTGGGGTGCCCGCAGGCCCACCGCCTCAGGGAGGGCCCCTCACACCTTCCCTCTGTGGTCCCTGGACCTCTGGCCTTTTTGTTCCTTTGCAGAGGCCTTGGGGGCACTGGCCGGGGGTCAGCAAGTGAGCACTTTATATCCCTTTGCGGGAAACCCCGTGATGCCCCGGGACTCGTGGTGTCACCCTGCCTTTGGGCCTTCCAGCTGCGCCACGCGGCGCCCAAGCCCCACCAGCAGGCGGCCGTCCCTGGGCTGCGCCCGAGCCCCTGGGACTGGCCGCCCCTCCGGTTCTGAAGGGCCACTTTGTCAAAGTGTTTGGGTTTTTCTTTACTTCTTTTCAAAGTTTGTTTCCAGAGGAAGGACCGTTTTGTACTGGTCTGATTTTCGCAGCATTGCAATGGAATTCCTTGTTTTTCATTTTCGATCAGAACATTCCTTCTCTCCTGGTCACAGCCATACGTTCATTCCATTCTTCTTTTTGTAGACTTTTGGGCCCACGTGTTTTATGGGTATTGATACATATATAAATATATATATATAAATACATATGAATATATTTTTTTAAGTTTCCTACACCGCGGTTGCATGGGCTGTTACGAGCGGCATGTCTTTATATTGTATACGGACTTTGCACGCCAAACGCGGCAGCTTTGGGGAAGAAGAGAAATGCCTTTTTGTTCCCCTCCCAGGACGTTTGCAGACACAAAAGATGGATTTTTCTGT